AAAGAATATAAAAATAATAGATAAAAAACATAAATATGAAAGATAAAGAATATAAAAGATAAAATATGAAAAACATAAAGATAAAAAGTAATAATAGATAATAATGAAGTATTATAATTAAGAATAATAATAAAAGAATGAAGATTATAATAAAAAAATATAATAAAAAAAAATTAATTAACTATAAATAAATAAATATACTATGAATAAGCAAATTCTTAGATAAATAAAAATTAATTTGTAAAATAAAATCCTCTTAATAGTAAATGATAAAAATGCATTAAATAAATATAATTCTTATTGAAGCTATTTAAATTTTAAAATTTTATACATTTGTAAAATATAAATAATAATTATATAAATAATAATTTTAATTTTATATATTATATAAAATCAAAGCTTTTATTTAAAAATTTTGTTAAATATAAATTTTTTTTTATTTTACATTATATATTTAACATAAATATAAACTTTTTTTTTTTAAAAAAAAAATATTAATACTAAAAAAAAAAAAATTTTAATTTCATAAATTTAAACATTACATATTAATCAAATCTACTTTAAAAATATTTTATAAAATTTTTGATTAAATCTGACTTGATTTATATGTAATTTAAATCTGAATTATATTTTAAATGTAACTTTTATTATTACTTACTATTTGGTTTCACAAAATGTTAAAGATCAATTGTTATAAATAGAATGAATAAAATAATAATAAATTTAAAGAAAAAATTCTGTACAAATAAATATTTCTTCAACCTAAATAAAAAAAAAAATCAATCAATATCATATCAGATAAAATCTAGAAATTTATGGTATCTTATTGAAATATATTTAATAATCCGAATTCAATTTAAGGTTGGAAAAATTTATAATTAGTTATTTGGTTGAAAACATCACATCAAACCAAATCTTCAACAAAATTCAGAACAATGTTATTGTCAAACATGTACATTCGATTCATTGATTAATTATTATCAATAATATCCAGATTTTGATTAGTTATTTGCAATACCGATTATTCTGTCATTTTAAGTTTTCTTAGCTCTCGATTCTGGTGATTTTAAACCAGTTACATGTCCACTAGCAGTTGCAAGCTTTGAAGAGAGCATTCTTGAAGAAGGCAATTTACTTATACCAGAAGGAGCTGCAGTCATTGACATCCGGGAACCATGTTTTGATAGCCTTGTAGTAGGAGTAGCAAGCATTGATGTATTATGAGGAGGTATAGGAGAAGTTCCTCTACCAGGTGAGGAGCCACATGAGACTGAACTTGCTAAAGAAGTAAGGGAATCAGTTTCGGAAGCAGTAGGTGATTCCGGGGGGGAAAAAATTGGAGACGAGTATTCATCATGAGAAGACAAGCTATCAGTACTCCGACCACCATAATGTGCAAAGGATGAAGGAGTTTTAAGGACACTAGAAAGGCATCGAATACCAGAATTTGTATTTGAATACGCCGAAGTAGTTGAGATACTATTTGATCGCGACATTGTGGCGGTATTATTGGGAGAATTATTTCCAACTGCAATACTTTGAGGTCGAGGTTTCTTGAGTGACGTGTTGGGTGGCTCAGAAAAACTGCCAAGCCGGCTCAATGGTCGTATGGATGTTGTTGATGTAGGTGAAGTTTTGGCAATACTCGCACGACTTGAAGGTCTTACTGTACCAGAATTAAGTGTGCCATATTTAGAATTCGTTGCATTGACATTTGAAGGAGACATACTACTTCGAATTCGACTTTGTGGTCCAGTATTGGAGGATTTCGGTGTAACAGATCCAGCTCTGCTCAACGGTCGAGATCCTGGAGATGCAATATGTGATTCAGCAGAGCTATTACTCACACGACTCATTGATCTTGGACGAGCGCTACCTGGCATAGATTGCGTCATATTATACATTGACATGTGAAGTCCTCGAGTTGGAGAAGCAATTCTTGAAGGCGATGTAGCACCAACAGATGATGTAGTGCTCTCTTCGGTAGAGCTATCACTAAGAGCGCTTGAAGATCTTGGTCTTTGTGAAGTCGGGATAGAAGAATGAGAATCGACCCTACCAGGGGTTGCAATTCTAGAACCAATTCTGCTAGGCGAACGCAAGCCGGTTACTGTTGATGGTCTTCGTATTCCTGAAGCTCCCGATTTTGCGCTACTTGCTGAACGCACAGAAGTATATGAACCATTTGACGTTGTTTCACATTCATCTGGATCTCCTACTGACGAAGCTCGTGAAGATGTAGGAGAAAGCGGTGATGGACCAAAATGAGCGCTAAATGCTGTTTTAGGTAGACCCGATGGGATGCCAGATTTGCCACCCGAAAGGGTGGGAGCGGGTGAGGGTGCAGGTGAAGGTGAAATTGGCTTTAAAATAGGAGTGATTTGTGTGTCTAAGCTCATATCAATCTCATTTGTCTCATCATCATATTCGGCGCCTTTGGAATCCATCTATAAAACAAATGTTAAATCATAACTTCTTAGTAAAATATGTAGTCAATAAAACGTTAATGTACGAGAAAACTTACATCAAATCCATTAGAATTAGAGAATGAATTCATGATATCATCAGCTTCTTGACCATCAACTTCAAGTGGTGTATCACTTAAATTTTCATCATCTTCTGCAATTGGTCCGGTAACATTCACTAAAGGACTCAATGTTGGAGTGCCATGTGGGTCTGGAGAAGGTCTACGTAAAGGAGAAGTTGATGGCGTAAGATGCTTTTCAAACTAATACATTTATTATTTGAATGAATAAATAAAATAAATAAGGATAATTAAGTAATAGATATGGTTTCGAGTACATTCACGATTTGTAATATATTGCATTATACCTCTGCAGGATCAATTTTCCAGAAATCATCATCTCCATCATCCAAACCGTCATCATTTAGTTGAATTTCACCAGACTCCAAATCACTACCTTCAGCTATTAACGCATCCAAGTCTACGGAACAATCAGAATCAGTGTCCACAGATGTTTTATTCTTTGAGCGTGTTAAATGTATGGAACTTCTATTAGGCAAAGCAAATAATAATCATATGATTAAATATTAATGAAATTATATAAATCATTGCACAAATGTAAGGAAAAAATATATATATTAACAAACTCACTTAATTTCACCTTTACTTTCTATCTTAGATTCACCATTTAATGCAGAAATTTCAATATTGATGGTATTTTCTTCAACATTTTTGGTTTCTAAAGATTCAACCTTTTCAGAACCCATTATAATTATATCTGCAGTTTCATCTAAATTTTGTTTGATGTCTTGATTTATATTCTGTTTCTGTAACTTCGAGTCCATCCTCTGGTTACTTCGATTTTCATAACCATTTTGACGTTTTTCATCGGGACTTAACTCTAATTTAATTGTAGGTGATGTAAGTTGTTTATCAGTGCTAGTAGAATCTTTAACTATAACGGGTTTTATGATTCCAGATGATTCTTGAGAAGGATTCCCATTAATAAATTCCTCTTTTATGGTTTCATCCTTTATGCTGGATGTTAAAGAAACCGATTTGTTATCGTCAATAAAATTAGAGTCTAATTCTATTTGATTGTCTGTGAAAGTGTCTTTGTGAGTATAAGGAAGTTTTTGCAGAAAGAATTCTTTCAGACTTTCTCTTTTTGTTTGAAGTGCAAGTGATGTCGCCTCATGAAATTTTTTCTCTTCTTCCAACATTTGATCCTTTAGATCTTGTTCATCATGATTTGAATTTACCGGTGCATTCTCAATAACGGGTTGTAAATTTTGACCATCAGTTTTTTCATTAATTGATAGCTCACTCATTGATTCATTACTATTGTTGTCACTGGTAGAAGGTGTATGTTCAGAACTAATTTGTACAAGTATTTTATCAACTTCGGAAGTATCTAACTGATTGGTTGAATTAATATTATCTCCAGGCGTAATGGTTTTGACATTATGATCAATGTCATTGGTATTTATGTTTTTCTGATCTTCTCTATCAAAAGTCTGGTTAGTGTCTGTTATATTTTTTGTAGTATTGTTTGCGGAATAATCCGTAGTTTCATGGTGTCCTTCTATAGAAGTGTTCGAGTTTTTAGGTGAGGTATTTTCTAGTTTATTCTTTTTTGCGTTTTCTTCTTCCAACTTTCGTACTAGTAAAAGTTCGCGCATTGTACTTTATATTTTTATTGTTTAAAAAATGTTAAAAAAAAAAATGTGTATAACATACTAAAAAATTTTTATCGGTGGAAGTGAAAGTAGAATACAATACTAAAGCTATACCTTAATGAACGTTTGTTATTCCGATGTAATATTTTATAATAATTATTGCGACGTTATTAATGCGTATATACTGAAAGAAGCGTTATTGTGGGTATATTTTTAAAAAAGGTGATAATAATAATGATGATAATAATATTGTTTATAAAGGCAAAGTTTGAAAGTAAAGTTTTTTTTTTTTTTTTTTTATAAATCAATAGGGTTTACATAATAAGTATAAAAGTGGAATGGTCATATATAGTACATTAAACAAAAAGCGAAGTGAAAAAATAATAGCTTATAAAAAACAAAACTACGTTATAATGTTTATGATTTTGTACTGTAATAATGAATTAATGATACAAACCAATAAAAAATACACAATAGTACAAAAAAAAAAAAAAAAAAAATTATATATAATACAAGAATCAAAAAGTATAAACTAATTTCTTTGGTTTTTCGAAGAGGGGTTTATTCAATGCAAAATGTCGAGTGTTTTTGGGGTTAAATATTGTCATACTTTAAGTTGATTATAATAATTTACTTTAATGATTTTGACTAAATTAGTAATTTGCTTATATTGATATTCTATTGAATTTAGGGTTCTTACAAAATTAAGAAAATATATATATATAATAAAAAAATGTATAAGTTACACTAACAAAATTTGAAATTTACATCATTTAATCACTATAATTTTTTTTCAATATATTTCTTAACAGGAAAATTTCTTATGTTTGTCAAGTGAAAAGGAATTGATAGTTATTCTATTTTAAATAATAATCAGAATCAGCAAGTATAGGATCCCATTCTAAGATATCAGAATCTTCTAAATTATTAAAAGAATCTTCAAGGTGAAGTCCTTGACAATATAATAATTCAATATCCAAATGTTCAAATTCAGCTGAATCAATAAAAATTTCGGTATCAAACACTATTTTTGAAATTTGTTCTTGAATCTCATCATCTTCTTGTATCCTATTTTGATAAATATTATCAACAATTACTTCTTCTAATTCCCCATCCAGCCTTTCTATTAATCTTTCATCAAGTTTATTAATCATATAAAAAAATTTATTCCATTTCTCTTCATAATTATTATAATAATTCCTAAAATATCCAACAACATTCAAATAAGAGTTAGGTTTCATTATTTGAATGTTATTAGCAATAACATCAATATTGTTATCATTTAAATCTTTTAGTAATTTATAATAATGATTAGAAAATTCCAATAAACACAATTCCCCATTTATAACATAATCCAAAGCGTTGAATGTATTTAGATTAAATTCAAATGCATTCATATCAAAAATTGATCGCGTTTTAAAAATTTCAAATTCCTTTGCTGTACATCCAAATATTCTATCAAGACTATCTCCAAATATCGTTACTAAATTATTAAATAAATTTTAATAAATTTATAAATAAATAAATACACATTTCTTTTATTCTTTACCTCTATATAAATAATCATTAATAGAAACCATTATACAAATTCGATATCGATAAGAAATTTCGGTATGCTTGTAAATGATATGACAACGAAAACATCTTAATGAATATCGATCCTCAACTTGTAATTTGCTTTTTTTGTTTTCTTGATGTCCCTGCTTTTCATCATTTCCTAGATTGCTTTTATTATCATTACTTTGTTCGATTAATAGTTTTGATATTCTTTTTTCATATGGTAATTTTAATTTCTTCCCACAATAATCACAGGTAGGGTATACAACTTCTTGTTGCCGTATCACATTTATAATAGGACAGCTTATATATTTTGATGAAGCCATAAGTAATTCCTTTAAAGAAAGTTATTTACAAAACGCGAATGATAAAATTGATCAATTTTATTTATCATCCAATAGAATCTAAACCCGTCAATCACGTGATACAATATAATTTTCAATATTTTATTAAATTTTAAAATAAAAATTCTCTTATATACAACATATAAATAATTTTCATTAAAGAAACATCAGCAATTAAAAATCTATAATTATTATTCTTAATCTACCATCTTCCTCCCCCACGCTTTCCGAAATAACCCCTACGCCTAATTGGAGGTGGTGCGTTTGGAGCAGTCGCAGAACTTGAAGCTGTGGTGGTAGTAGTATTGGTGGTGGTAATGGAGGTGGTGGAATTTGTGGAGGTGGTGGTGGTGGCGGCAATATTAGATTCAGCTGATTGGGTTTGTGGTTTTGTCAATATTTGAATCTGTACCGGTTGTTTAACATCGGTGCCGTGTTTTCTGCTTCGATCTCGACGACGATAACTTGATGAAGGAACATTCATAATTGGAGTTCTAGTGACTGCTGTATTGGATGTGCTCGATGATGTATTAGAAACAGCATCTTTATCATCTATCTTAGATATCTCCTCCTGTAGATCTTTTTGATCTTTTACTCTAGATTCATTGATTACTACCTCTTTGTCAATTGTTTCTTTTGAATTAGTTTCTATTGTATCTAATTCCTTTTTTATCAGTGAAGGCTGGATGAATTGACGAATTTGTTCTTTTTGTCGTCGTTGGATCGTAATTTTAACGGGTGCTCTCCTAGTTTCTTTTTCTCTTTCTTCAGTTTGCGGTCGGGGAACAATAGTAATAGTGGGAGGTACTGACATACTAGCTTCTGCTGCCTGAGATTTTTTCTCTCTTTCTCTAAACTTTTGTCTTTCTCTTTCCGGTTTCTTTTCACGTCTTCTCTCACGTTCTCTATCACGATCTCTTTCCCGATGATTCTCTTTTTCTCTAGCTTTCTCACTTGATTTTTCGATGTCTATCTCCTCGAATTCCTTTTCTTTTTCCTTTTCAATATATTTGTTGTTATTTTCTTCTTCAATCTTCTTATCTTTTTCTTTACCCTTTTCCTTCTCTCTCCTTTCCTTCTCCCTTTCTCTCTTTCTGCGTTCCTTTTTGGTAGGTTTACCTGTATATTGAAAAGATTGATTAGCTTCATTAGCATGTACCGCTCGTGAATTTTGTGACTGTTTTACAGTCTTCGAACCAGTTCCTTTTGCAGGTGAACCTGGTGGTGAAAGGATAGCTATTTGAGCTTGTTTTGTTAGTTGCGATTTAGACTTTGCAGACTTTAACGCGCGTAAATGTTCAATAAGTGGAGTAGTTTTTGGTTTTTCAACAGCATTAGCTGCATTGATAGCTGTTCAAATAATAAGAGTAAATAATTTATTACTTTAAAAAAAAAAAATAAATAAATAAATAAATTAATTGATTATTGATTTAAAGCTCACCAGCAGCATTTGCCAAACGGGCCTCCAATCTTTCCAATTGCGTTGCACCACTTTCTAATAATACACCTGGTTCTTTTGTAGTGGCATGTTGAGTTTCTTCCACTTTCAAAGATTCAAGAAACGCGAGATAATCGGGATCTACATATACCAGAATAAATTAATGATGTATTTTCTCACTGTAATCAAATTTATACATACCAGTTTCAATCGTTCCTTGTTTAGGATTTGGTTTCTTGTGTTCTTTTGGTAGTTTTTGATAAATTGCAAATTCTACCACAGCTCTATTTTCATTGCCTATATTCAAAAAGAAAAAAAAATAAAAATAAAGATAAAAGAATATAATAAAAATGATACACCATCAATTAACGAGATAATACCTTGTCTGTCAACGAACAAATGATTATCATAACCACGATGAAATTCTAAAACCTGTTCAACAGTCTTGAAGTGTAGATAGGCACGAGAAAAGATACTTTCCTTATTCTTGCTACAACATATTAAAAATGCGTTTAGATTTGTTTTTTCAAGTTTACACCAAACGTAAGTATACGCTTACCTCTTGCTAATACGACCTTGGTGAAAGCGTGACCAAGTACAAGTTTCTTTGTTTACCCATTGTTCGACAGATTCAAAGAACACTTGCTCAAGAATAAGTGGAGGTAACCGACGTACAACGACTTTTGTCTTTGTAGCATTTTTGCTGTGACCTGTTCGTTTAGATTTAGATTTCTTTGATTTTACTAAAGATTTGGATATTTTACTTGACATCATAATCTTTTTTAAAGGTTATTCGCATTTGACATTTGTATAAATTTTAATAAATTTATTTGTGGTGTTACCCGATCATCCCGTTTTCTAAATTTCACGTGATGTACATTTTTGAGCACTTATTAGAAAAATGATAACTGAATGGACATTTTTATTGTGATAATTCTAACTAAATTAGGGGCCGTTGCGATATAGAAATACCTATGGTTTAAAGATAGCATCATAAGTATTTCAAAATGGCGGTAATTTGTGAAAATAAAATTTAAAAATTTAAGTAATTTAGGTGACCGACCTTACTTACTATGGTCCCGAACTTTACAACATTAATTGCAATTAATTACAAAAAGAAGATAAATCGCCTGAATTTAACGCAGATATGGCAAAAGATTTCAGATGGTCATCCTCTGACACCAAGATATAACGATACCTTAAACCGACAGTGCAACTTTCTTGGTCTTGAAGCGATATGTTTTACATGGAATAGCCCATCGTCATTCTTCTCGTTCACCCATATAAGAAAGAAAAATTCTTTCCATTCGTTTAGCGGATTTTCCACGAATTATTCCTGAAATGTGTGACAGGTTACGCCGATCGGTGACAAATATGGTGTGGCAAATATGCCAACACCTAACCAAAAAAAACTAAGTTTCCTAAAAACAATAAAAACCTATTCTGGGGGTATAGGTCCAGGGTGACCGTACCCCATATAAGGAAGGTATGTTACACTATTATTTCACAATACTTTTTTAAGAAGCTTGTGTAACAGATTTATCCTATGAAAAGTGCATAGATGCTAAGCATTTCTGAAATTTTGATACTATAGATTAACAATTTCAAATAAATCTATTTAAATCCAAATACTTTAATATGTTTGAAAAGAGAAATTGCAATAAATATCAAGTCATCAAGTCAAGTAGATTTTGTCTATTAAAGAAAGCAAAATGAAAAAGTTAAGAGTAAAAGTCTACAAAGAAAATCTGATAGAAAAGTATTATCTTATATAGTAGCTGTTATATGTAAAGTACTGGATGAGTCAAGTTAACTCATGAGTCAGATAAGCTGAGTCGAGTTTAAATCAAGTCGAGTTTATGTTTTTTTGACTCGATGATTTGCGAGTCAAGCCAAATTCAAGTCGAGTTAAATATTTAACTCGACTTGATTTGAGTTAACTCAAGTTGATTTGAAATAGTATTATTTTTAGGGATGTTAAAATCCAATCCGGTCTAATCTGGTTCTGAAACTCCCAGTCCATAAAACTTGGGTCCTAGGACTGAATTCTAGGACCAATCCTGAAACTGCAGTTCTAGGACCGCAGTTCTATAGAAAAATAATTATTCAAGAAGAACGATAAGAAATCGTTCAACTTAAACGATAAAAAAATCATTCAAGAAGAACAATGAAAAATTGTTTGACTTGAATGATGAAAAATTGTTCGACTTGAACGATAAAAAAATCGTTTAAGAAGAATGATGAGAAATAGTTCAACTTAAATGATAAAAAAATCGGTCAAGAAGAACGATGAGAAATCGTTCGACTTGAACGATAAAAAAAATTATTCAAGAAGAACGATGAACCGAATTGTTCGACTTGAACGATAAAAAAAATTGTTCAAGAAGAACGATGATCCGAATTGTTTGACTTGAACGATAAAAAAATTGTTCAAGAAGAATAATGACAAATCATTCAACTTGAATGATAAAATAATCATTCAAGAAGAACAATGACAAATCATTCAACTTGAACAATAAAAAAAATCGTTCAAAAAGAATGATAAGAAATCATTCAACTTGAATAATAAAAAAAAATCGTTTAAGAAGAATGATAAGAAATCATTCAACTTGAACGATAAAAAAAATCAAATCATTCAAGAAGACGATAAGAAATCATTCAAGAAGACGATAAGAAATCGTTCGATTTGAATGATAAAAAAATTGTTTAAGAAGAACAATAAGAAATCGTTCAACTTGAACGATAAAAAAATCGTTCAAGAAGAATAATAAGAAATCGTTCGACTTGAACGATAAAAAAAATCAACTTGAATGATAAAAAATTGTTCAAGAAGAACAATAAGAAATCGTTCGACTTGAATGATAAAAAAATCAAATTGTTCAAGAAGAACGATGACGAATCGTTTGACTTGAATGATAAAAAAAATCAAATTATTTAAGAAGAACGATGAAAAATCATTCGACTTGAACGATAAAAAAAATTGTTCAAGAAGAATAATGACCTGAATTGTTCAACTTGAACGATAAAAAAATTGTTCAAGAAGAACAATAACAAATCATTCGACTTGAATGATAAAATAATCGTTTAAGAAGAACGATAATAAATCGTTCGCTTCCCTTCCCCCCTCCTCTTCCTGATCTTTTTTTTATATTTAAATGTTTATAAAAATTTAAAATTAACTCATAACTTGATTTGAACTTGACTCGATTTGAATAAATTCAAGTCAAAATCGAATCGAATTAAAATTGAGTCAAGTCAAATTAAGTCGAGTTTAAAATTTATATAACTCGAATCAAATCAAATCGAAAAATTTTATAAAATAAATTTGATTTAAGTTGACTTGAAAAAAACGAGTCAAATAGAGTTGGTCTTTAAACTCAACTCGACTCGACTCATTCAGAACTCTACTTTTATTTGTATATATTCATAAATTATTTGCTTAATCTTTACTATAATTTCTTCTTTTCTTTCTTTTTTGCTACTAATATCTTTAGCTTTTCATACCAAAACTTCACCTTTTGAAGTAACAAATCTAATCCTAAAAAATTTTGATCTAAAATATTTATCTATCTATCAAAAGATAAAGTAACATTAATAGGATCATTTTATACTTTATTTTCTAAATCCAATTTCATTTTTTATATAATTTTTTATAAAATTTGACCTACAAGAGTATAATAACTAGAAAGTTTTAAAGTAAGATAATAAAACTAAAAAATTCTTTTATTTCTTTATTTTTCACCTATTATAAAAGTATTTCAGCTAATAATATTACTTTTAAAACTAAATCATTAAATGTCTCTTTATCTTTTTTTTAAAAAAAAAATGAAAAATGAACTAGTTAAATAGTCTTAAAGAAGAAGGCATACAAATAAATCTTGTATTAATTCATTTATCTGTAATATTTTAAAAAAATAAATATTAACATTTTACTTACTTGAAGTAAATTTTTACTTATAATATAATCTCTTACTATTAATTAAAATAAAAACTAGATCTTTAGATACTTCATTCTCTAAATCTTCATCTACCTTTTTTTTAGAAAATCAAGACTTAAAATTATCACATTTTTTTAAATGATTTACAATTCATTTAGTCTTATTAGAGAATTTTTTTTAATAGCATATTTTTTATTAAGAACTTTTATACAACTAATATAAATTACATAATTATATTATTTATCTGTCTTTTTAGGTAAAATCTCAATGTATTGTAAAAGATTTTTGCATTTATTAATTATTATTAAATGTTAGAACAAAAAAGTTAAAAAAAGGTATTAAAAAAAGATTATCAAGATCAGCCAAATTATTCAAAAATGAAAAATTGGCAAAAAATTAGTTAAATAATAGTCAAAAAAATATTTGATTATAGCCAATTGCTAATGAACTTTAACTACTAATTTTGGCTATTAATATTAGCCTATTGGTCAAATTATAGTTAATGGCTAAGTAAATTGATTGGCTGTAATCAATGCTAACAATGCCTTAAATATAAAATTTAAATCTTTAAATATTATAACATATTTAAAATATTTTAGCTTATAATATACTATATAATATTTAAGAAAATAGATTATGATTAGAAGAAAAGCAAATTATAATACTTAATATATTTTTTGTTTCTTCATAAAATTTTTGTAAATTTATTTTATTAATTTATCTATAATACTCTAAATTATTTAGTTTAATCTAAATTATAAACCAAATTAAATATGAATTGAAATTTTGATTTAAATTATAAATCTTAAAATACTAATCTAAATTTATATTAAACTGTTATTATTAGGTTCATTTTAGTTATTTTAATATTTAAGTTAAAAGGTTATGGCAGTTAATTCTATATATTGAAGTTTTTAACTTTAGGATTTTTTCTAAATCCTATAGATACCCATGATATTTGAATCAACTTGGCAATTTATTACATCTTAGAATTTAAGATATATTAGTTAAACTCATAATGATAAACTCAATAGTAAGTTAGTATAATATATTATAACAAATCCTAGATAAGGGATAATATTGAAAGAAAAGTAAATTTGTATGGATTTAAATTGATTTCTTTATTAATAACTTAAAACTTGCAAAGATTTAATTTACAATTTAGGCAAAAGCTATTTTATTTATACAAAATAAATTTGCTTCAGTTAATTACTTACTACGCTATAAGTTAACTAAATATAGATATATATTTTAATAAAGATATACTTAAGCATAATAAAATAATAAAAATAATACAAAAAAATAAAATAATTACAGATATTAAAGAAATATAAACAAAATAGAATAAACAGAAAAAACAGGTTGTACAAAAAATACAAAAGAAATAGAAGAAACAGAAATTATTATTGATTACTTTTTAGTACAGCAGTAATATCATCTAATGTAAGATTATTATTAATTAGTAAATTTCATATGATGTTTAAAGCTGTAATTTTTTTTATTGATACTATATAATATTTAATTTCTAATCTAAACTGAAAATTTTAGATTAATATAAAAATTCAGTTTAATTATATTTTATTATTCAATTAAAATAATATTAATATTTTTAATCATTTCAATTAAATGATTCTTTTATCATTTAATGAAATGATTTTAATTATTCTAATAAATGATATTTTTATCATTTAATAAAATGATTTTAATTATTCTAATAAATGATATTTTTATCATTTTAAATTAAATAGTATTTTTATTATTTAAATAAAATGATAATTTGATTATTTTTAGAAATATTAAAATCCAGTTTAATCTTAGTCTGATCCTAAAATT